CTGGCCTCAGTAAATGATTTCCACATCCTTGTGTTCTCCCTGTCGGGCACCACGATGGAACTGTCTTTTTGTGCCAGCCCCTATTGGTATGGTTTGGCTGACTGTGACCCCACCCAAATCTCATCTCGAATTGTAATCCCCACATGTCGAGGGAGGGAAGTGATTGGATCATGTGGGCAGTTTCCCCATGAGGTTCTCATGATAGTGAGTTCTCATAAGAGCTGATGGTTTTATAACTATTTGGAAGCTCCTCTTTTTTTGCTTCTCTCTCCTGGCATCTTGTGAAGAAGGTGCTCTCACCATGATTATAAGTTTCTGGAGGCCTCTCCAGCCATGCAGAACTGTGAGTCCATTAAACCTCTTCCCTTTATAAATTACCCAGTCTTGGGTAGTATTTGTATAGCAGTGTGAGAACAGACTAAGAAACCTGTGAAACAACCGATGAAACTTTCATCACCTTCTGGTTTGGTAGCTCAAGAAGGACCCTCTCAGAGGGCGCCGTTTCCTCTTAAATAGCCCAGTAACACAATGAGAAACCTTCCTGGCTCATCCTTCTCACAGACTGCAGAAGTCTGAACCATATGGAGAGTTTGCTTGCACTTGGGTCTGGTCCCCTGGCTCCCTGCGCTGGCTGCCAGGTTGCAATTACAGCTCCTGAGTGTAAGCCTCAGCAGGAGGCTTCTCCACTGAGGTGAGCATATGCACAAGTGGAAAATAAACAGCCCAAGGGATTTCTGGCTTTGGAGCTGGCTCACAATAAGATGTTACCAGTCAAGGCCCATGGGACTTTTGCAAGTACATAGTAAACCAGGGTGAAAATCCTCTCCTATGGATTTCCTCCAGGAGGAGTGACCTCACAATGACACCTAATGTTTATGAAGCATTTATTTATTACATGCGTAGCACTCAAGATGCCCTTGACACATATCTCCTCACTGGGCCCTTACCCTCTGTGGTAATTTACTACCATCACCTTTAACAATAATGTTTATTTCAGTAACAAACCCTGCCTTACCGATGAGGACACTGAGACTTAGAAAACTAAGAAAAATTCTCCTGGCAGGACATGATAGCTCATGTCTGTAATCCTAGCACTTCGGGAGGCTGAGGCAGGCAGATCTCTTGAGGCCAGGAGTTCAAGACCAGGCTGGGCAACACTGCAAGACCCTATCTCTGCCAAAATAAATAAAATTAGCCAGGTATGGTGGCATGCACCTGTAGTTCCAGCTACTTGGGAGGCTGAAGCAAGAGGATTGATTGAGCCCAATAATTTAAGATTACAGTGAGCTATGATCACACCACTACACTCCAACCTGGGTGACAGAATAAGACCCTTGCTCAGAAAGAGAGGAAAGGCGAGGAGAGGGGAGGGGAGGGGAGGAGAGGAAGGTTCTCCTAAGGTCATACAGTTTGCAAATGGTTAGAAGCAGACCTTGAGGTGCTCCTGGCCAGACGTGGTGGCTCATGCCTGTAATCCCAGCACTTTGGGAGACCAAGGTGAGCGAATCACCTGAGGTTGGGAGTTCAAGAACAGCCTGACCAACTGGAGAAACCCTGTCTCACCTAAAAATCTAAAATTAGCCAGGCGAGGTGGTGCATGACTATAGTCCCAGCTAGTCGGGAGGCTGAGGCAGGAGAATCGCTTGAACCTGGGAGGCAGAAGTTTCAGTGAGCCAAGATCGCACCATTGCACTCCAGCCTGAGCAACAAGAGCTAAAGTCTGTCTCAAAAAAAAAAAAACTTACTCCTGCACACCCCTGCCAAGGAGGCATTTCATTGCCACATGAACCTGGCACGCAGGTGAGAGCAGAGAAACAAGGAAAGATCTGCCTGCTAGAACATAAGCTACTTAATGAGAGAAATTTTTGTTTAGTTCACTGCTGTATCCCTAGTACCTAGAACAGTGCCTGGCAAGTATTTGTTAAAAGCAGTGAAAGAAGTGGTTATCATTTGTCACTTATCACCTGACCTCAGCCATCACACTCCTGGCCTGTGAGTGTGTGTGGGTGATGACCACAATGGAAGAAGATGATTTTGGTCATTGAACTCCACCCAGTGGGGCTGTGGCCCTGGGAATCATGGGGTGGGCTCTGCACGGCTGGGAATGTGTTCGGATTTTAACTCTGTGGATCATAGCTACAGATGTGCTAGAAGGAATGCTGCAGAGCTCCACAGGGCAAGTAGCAGCTGGTGACAGGTGACAGGCATCAGGGCGGGGACCCTGGGCCCTGAGCTTCCTGCATACTGAAGATACTGTTGGGGGCGCGGGTGGGGGTAAGGGGAAGAGGAAGAGGATGTGGGAGATCCAGAGGAGGGAGGAAGAGAGGGAGAAAACACAAGAGCCCAGGAGGGAGGTGGGAAGGCCCCCTTCTGCTGCTCCAGCTGGTCAGACAGGCCCCCAGGGCCCCCCCCTCCTGCTCCTTCACCCATTGTGAAGCAGTCTGAGCAAGAACAATGGGAATGGAATCCTTCTTCCCCTCCTGCCTGGCAGGGCTGGGCCCACTTCCTCCTTGCCCCACCGAAAGGAATGCTTTCTTGTCCAGACTGTGTGGTACCCGCAGGGAAGAAGGGCACTTGGGGCTCCCCAGGGACAGAAGGCTTTGTGGCTTGAGCTGATGACAATGGGGTTGGAGCAGGGAGCAGGGGTGTTCGGTGGGGCAGGGGTTGGATCTTTTCAAAATTTCTCTTGGGTTTCTAATGAGTGTTTCTGCTTTTTTTTTCTGACTCATGAGGGGGTCTCTGTCGTGAGGCCTTAAGTCACGCTAAGTCACTTGGGGCCTTTTCTGACTTCTGGGGCCGACCACTCAGGCGGATCTGTGACCCTGAGTGGCAGCGCCCACAGCCTGAGAGAAGGCTTTTGAGACAGGTTAGCGGTGCCTGGGCACCCCTTATTCTGGGCAGAGCTGCAGATCATCTGAGCTCTTCACTCCTGGCCTCCCAGTACCCCAGAAGCCACTCCATTCTGTGTGGAAACTGCATCTCAGGGACACTCCGGTTTTTATTTCAGGGTTGGAAGGCACAAAAGCTGATTTTTTTGCCTCCTTCATGTCTCAAAGCATAAAAGTCCTCCAGTTTCCCACCTGGAAGGTCGATGCCTAGCTGTCCACTTCTGGGGACAGATGAAGGCAAAGGGCTGGAGGCTCTCAGCACACAGTCTGTGAACTGAATCCCACTGTGGTCACATGTGCTGCTTGTTGACCCTCTGATGTTCCTTCTTCAGAGAATAAACCTCCTGTCTCTGGCAGCTTTGTGGGAGAGGCAGCAACCGGACTGCATGGTGAGTGGGAGGGTGTGAAATCTGGCTTCTGACAGCCAGTTCTCCGGCTGAAGCTGTACCAGCACTCCACTGTGAGAGATCCTTGTTGCTGTGGATCCCCGAGCCCTCTGCAGGGGTCTGCAGTGCAACTCACATCTCTGCTCAGCGTTCCCACGGCTGCATCAGGAGGTCTTTGTGAGGTCTGCTTTCTGTTGTTGTTGTTGTTTATGTTTTTTTCCTTATTTTTTGGCTAAAATCTCTTCTGTTCACTTTGTCCTTCTGGGTTTTTGTCTTTTAAAAAAAATCCCTTCATGTTAGTTTACAGGGTTTTGGAATGCATGTGTTCCATCTCCCATCTGTGAACTGTTTTCATTTACCAATCCTGGAAAGCTTTAAGACTTTGAGTAAGGCCGAGCATGGTGGCTCACACCATTGGGATGCCACGGCTGGTGGATCACGAGGTCAGGAGTTCAGCCTGGCCAACATAGTGACACCCTGTCTTTACTAAAAAGTTAGCCGGGCATGGTGGTGCATGCCTGCAGCCCCAGCTACTGAGGAGGCTGAGGCAGGAGAATCACTTGAACCCAGGAGGTAGAGGTTGCGGTGAGCCGAGATCACATCACTGCACTCCGGCTTGGGTAACAGTGAGACTTCATGTCAAAAAAAAAAACAAAAAGACAGTAACAGAAAATGTTGCAAGTCATGGCCCTTAAACACATTTCTAGATTTAAAAGTTAATTTTGCAAATAAAATCATTGTGTGGTCTCTCTCGTCCTGCTCTCACTACCTTTCCCTACAAATGTGTTACCTCGTTATGGAACCCAGAGCCTCACACTGTACCAGAGCTTGGTGCATATGTGTTAGATGACTGATTGACAGGCTGACTTATAACCTAACTAGCCCAAATCTTACAGGATCTTTCATCTAAGAAGAGACGCTTAGCATACCATACCACCCATGTTAATTTCCATAGCCTATACTTTGTTAATTAATTTTCATTACAAGCTATATTGAAGATATCAAAAAGTATCTTAAATGCAAGATATAGAATGTAAAGAGGAATAATATAAGAACTACAATTGCAAAGTAGCCAGCTCCAACACTGCAGCCTTATAAGGCCCTTTCTGAGCACATGTTCCTCTCTCCCAGAAGCACCCACTGTTTTGTGTTAATAAATCACTTGCTTTCTTTATAGTTTTATCATTTGTGCGTGCAAATCTAAACAATACATTGTGTCCTTTTACTCATTTTTGAAATGCATATGTGGAATCATACACTGTGGTTTTCTCTGATTTGCTGCTTTCACTCAACATTGTTTTTGAGACCCATCCAAACTGATCTATGTAGCTGCAGTTCATTCATTCTTCTAAAATATTCCATTGTAAGATAACATCACAATTTATTCATGTATTCCACTGTTGTTGGACATTAGGGTTGTTTCATTTTTTCACTATCCTAAGCAACAGGCCTGGGACTAGGGTAAGGCAAGAGGGACATCGAATTAGTTTCCTAGAGCCTAACTTGGTGGCTTAAAACAACAAAAATGTTTCTTCTCACAGTTCTGGCTGCCAGAAGTCTGTAATCAAGGTGTTGGCAGGGCCATACTCCTTCAAAGGCTCTAGCAAGACTGTTTTGCTTGCCTCTTCTAGCTTCTGGTGTCTCCAAGTGTCCTTGGCCCATGGCTTATGACCTTCACGTGGCCTTCCCCTCTTCTCCCTGTGTCCCTCTTCTGTATGTCTCTTCCTTTTTTTTTTTTTTTTTTTGCATTGTACCTTTTAATTGCCTGGGTAGTTTTAAATAAATGGAGAAAGCACCTTTCAGAATCTATACTAGCAGGAAAAAATTCCGTTAAGCATTTACATGGTAAATTTCTATAATTTCACAAAAGGTTTTTGATCTTACTTGAAGTATACATGAGGGAAAGAGCCCCCCTCAGGTGGGTGGTTCTTTGCTTACAGAAGCAAACTAAAGGACCTAAAACTGGAGACAAGCCTGGATGCCAAAAAGGGGGAAGAGACATGGTAAAGAACCATTAATAAATTCCATGTCTACTTCAAGACATACATAATAAGTATTTTATACGTAATATATATTTTAGGGCAAACTACCACCCTTAAGATAAAAGTACAATCTTTAAAAAAGCTGTAGTTCTCAATTACAGTTATGTATCTCAATACCTTGGACTGCTGGATGTCAAAAGACAACACCTGGGGGTCATCTATGAGGTTTGAACAAATACTTTAGAGGAATTCTCTAGGACTCTATACTCTATTTTGGCTTTCTGAATGAAGCACAACAGGCTTCTCTGCTATCCTCCGGCCAGTATAATAGTCAAGGAAAAAAGAGCAACAGTATTGGATCATTCCTTAGACACTAATCAACTGGGGAAAGAGTTCATTGGCAAAAGGGTCCTCCCAAGAATGGTTTATAAGCGGAGAGGACATGTCATTGAAGGGAGAAAGGGAGCCCCTATATCCACAGTCACTGTAAGCATCCAGTAGGCAGGAAGATGGCTTCGGGCAGTGGCTGGATGAAAGCAGATTTGAGATACCCAGCTCTGGTACGAGGTCATCTTCTACAGGTTCTTCCTTCACTGAGACAATGAATTCGGGGTGATCTTTCTCTGAGGGTCTGAGAGGTGCTTTCTCAATTTTCACTATCACATTAGCTTGGCACTCTGTCTCAGAGGGTATCTCTAAGACTAGGGGCTTGGTATATATGTGGTCAAAGTGAATTAGTTCATTAATGGCTTACAGCTTGGCTGATGACGTCCCCAATGACAGAGAAAGGGAGGCTGATAAGGAACTGGGTCCTTCTGGGTTGACCTCTGGGAGCCCCTCCAGGCTGGCAGGCTCTGGGAAGGGCATTTGAAGAACATGACTGGGTCCAAGTTGTCCAGAATGCCCAACAGGATATCAGACTCTGAATCTGAAGAGTCAATACCGCCAGAATCCATGGGGAGATGTTCTGGAGGGGTGACAACTGGGCCTGCACCTGCTGCAGGGGTGCACTAGTCTGAATGCTGTGGACTCAGCAGACCCAGTCACTGGCCTCACTCCATTCCCCTTAGCTTCCGCCTCCTCTTCAGCAACCAGGGCATCCATCCCCAAACGCTGTCTTAACTCCGGATTCTCAACTACAAGGCCGTGAGTTTTTTCTCGTAAAAGCTGATTTTCTAGCAAAAGTTTTTGGTTCTCTTCTAAATCTACCACTTGCTGTTCCAGCTCACTCATTCGAGCTTTCTTTCGATCTCTGGCAGTCTGAGCTGCTACTCTGTTTTTCAGTTTCCTCCTCAGCGCCTTCTCCTCGGGGCTCCGGTGCATGGGGCTCAGGTGCGTGAGGCATTGTCGCTTGCACGCCTGGGGCGGTCCCCCGCTCGCCGCCTCCGGGCTGGCCCCTCTCTGGGCGGGCACCATGAGCGGCAGGGCCTGGCCGGCTGGGGCTCCGTCAGTAGAGGCGGGCTGCCCCGACAGAAGCAGTACTTTAGGGGCTCGGCGCGGCTGCCACCACCACCATAGCTCGAAACTACGCATCGCGCGCCGCCGCCGCCGCCGCCCCTGTATGTCTCTTCTAACGACACTTGTCATTGAATATAGGACCCAACCAGGTTATCCAGAATGATTTCTTCAGATCTTTTTTTTTTTTTTTGGTTTCAAGTTTGAATGAAAGCTTGCATATAAATAAGATCACTTTGTTCCTGCATGCTCTCAATTGTTTCTCCCTTTTCCTTTCCTACTTGGCGATATTTGACTTTCCGTTCAAGGATCTTTTTGCGGTCTTTGTCCGGTTTTAGCATGGTGATAACCACCTTGCTGGGGTGAATGCCTACGTGGACAGTTGTGCCATTAGCCGCTTCCCGCTGCACCTGTTCAGTGTAGATAATACATGTCTTCCTGTAAACCTGGGCTACTTTTGCCAGTTTGTTGATCTTTATAGTGTCCTCGTACAACCTGAACTTCATCATCCCTTCAGATGGGCATGAATCGCACGCTGCACTTCTGTCTCAGCTCTTTGGAAAGAGGGGAAGACTTACTCTTCCTGTGAATGTGGGAAAGTACATTGAAATGCCTTTTGCGATTCTTGCTTCGGTAGGAAGTCACAAAGGGATTGAACTTCATTTTGGCCGCTCCTGCCTCAGTGATGGCCTCAAAAGGGAAGAGCTCATCTTCAGATCTTTATCACATCTCCAAAGACCGTTTTTCCAAATAAGGTCACATGTGCAGGTTTGGGGACACAGACATAGCTTTTGAAGGGCTTTCAGCCCGCTATCAACACTGAGGGTGCGGTATTAGAGACCACATCAAAGTACAACAGTCCTGCAGGGGATAGGGGAGTACCACCTTAAGTTTTGTGCCCTAGGAGCCGTTCTTCCTCCTTCTGGTCCTGGCCCTGCTAAACAATCTTGTCATGAACATCTGTGCATACCTCTGGTCCCCTTGGGCAGGAGTTTTTCTAGAGTACATAAATAATGTAGGAGTGGAATTGCTGGGTAGGAGAACATGTGCATATTTGTCTTTATTAGCTAAGCTGGGGCTCTTTTCCAAAGTGGTTTAACCAGGTTGTTCTACTCTCGGTGGTGGATAGCAGTTCTGTTGCTCCACATCCTGTTCTTGTTCCTTCAGGATCTGGCTTTGTCTGGCTTTCTGGTTGTAGTCGGGTAAGTGTGGAAGAGTATCTCATCAAGGATTGTTTTTTTTGTTTGTTTGTTTTTGAGACAGGGTCTGTGTCACCCACGCTGGAGTACAGTGGCATTATCATAGCTCATTGCAGCCTTGAACTCCTGGGCACAAGCAATCCTGCTTCAGCTTCCCAAGTAGCTGTGACTATAGGATAATGTTACCAAAGCTGGTTAGTTTGTTTTAGTTTTTGTAGAAATGCGGTCTTGCTATGTTACCCAGATTGGTCTCAAACTCCTGGCCTCAAACAGGTCCTCCTACCTGGGCCTCCCAAAGTGCTAGGATTACAGGTATGAGCCACCACACCTGGTCTCATCAAGGTTTTAATTTGCATTTCTCTGATTACTAATGAGGTTAAGTATATTTTCACATGCTAATGAGCCACTTGTATTTCCTCTCCTTTGAAAGGCTTTCTCAAGGCTTTTGCTCATGTTTATAATTTATTTTTGCTTTTTCTTTTTGGTTTGTAGGAACACTTTATATATTCTCTATACTAATCCTTTGTTATTTAAATATGTTCCAAATCTCTTTTCCTAATGTTATCTTTTTACTCTCTCTTTTTAAAATGTGGTTGAATTTATCAATTATTTCCTTTATAGTCTGGGCTTCTGTTCTTCTTCTTCTTTTTTTTTTTTTTGTTACAGAGTCTCACTCTGTCCCCCAGGCTGGAATACAGGGGTGCAGTCTCAGCTCACTGCAACCTCCACCTCCCAGGTTCAAGTGATTCTCCTGCCTCAGCCTCCTGCATAGCAGGGACTACAGGCATGTGCCACCATGCCCAGCTAATTTTTTGTATTTTTAGTACAGACATGATTCACCATGTTAGCCAGGATGGTCTCAATCTCCTTACCTCGTGATCCGCCCTACTCAGCCTCCCAAAATCCTGGGATTATAGGTGTGAGCCACCGCGCCCAGCTGGGCTTCTGTTCTTGTTTAAAAAATTCTCCCCATCCTTGAACATATAAAAATATTTCTCTCTGTTGCCTTTTAAAGGTTTCATAGTTTTGCATTTCATATTTAAGTACTAGAATGGATTTTCTGGTATATGATATAAGGCAGGGATGCAATTTTGCTTTTTTCTATTTACGTATTTATTTTTATTTTTTGAGACAAAGTCCTTTCTGTTGCCCAGGCTGGAGTGCAATGCTGCAATCCCAGCTCTCTGAAACTTCCGCCTTCTGGGTTCAAGGGATTCTTTTGCCTCAGCCTCCTGAGTAGCTGGGATTACAGGAACACACTACCATGCCCCGTTAATTTTTTTGTATTTTTAGTAGAGACAGGATTTCATCATGTTGTCCAGGCTGGTCTCAAACTCCTGACCTCAGGTAATCCGCCCACCTCAGCCTCCTAAAGTGCTGGGATTACAGGTGGGAACCACTGTGCTGGCCACTTTTTTTCTATTTAATAAACCAAGTGTCTCAGCACCATTTATTAAATAGTCCAGGCCTTACCCATTATCTGAAATGCCCACTCAGTCGTAAATCAAGTCTCTCTATATACATGGATGTTGTTCTAGGTTCTCTGTTCTGTCCTATTAATCTATTTGTCTGTCCCTTTCCAATGCCATATCATCTTTATTACTACAGCTTCAGTGGTAAGTCAAGTCATGGTATCTGGTAGGGTAGGTTCCCCTCAACTTACTCTTTTTCATAACCACCTTGGCATTCTTGAACAGTTGCTCTTCCAAATACATTTTTGAAATAGCTTTTCAAGTGTCTTGAAAACACATGTTGGGATTTTTATAGCTGTTGCATTAAAGGCAATTGATAGTTATGATAGTGAATCTTCTCGCCTAAGAGCATTGCATTTCTCTTCATATATTTAGGGCTTCTCCCCCACCCAAGACAAGATATCGCTAACCCAGGCTGGAGTATGGTGGAATGATCATATTCACTGCAGCCTTGAACTCTTGGGTTCAAGTGATCCTCCCCTGTCAGGCTCCCAAGTAGCTGAGACTGCAGGTGCATGTCACCACACCCAACTAATTAAAAACAATTTTTTTGATAAAGATGGGGTCCTGCCATGTTGCCCAGGCTGGTCTCAAACTCTTTAGTGATCCTCCCACTTTTTAAAACAGCATTTAGAATTTGATCATTTTTCTACAAAGAGTTTTGGGTGTTTGATCACCACCCCCCACCCCCAACAAGCCTCATGTTGAAATTTGATTCTCAATGTTGGAGATAGGGCCTAATGGGAGGTGTTTGGGTCATAGGGGCAGACCCTTCATGACTAGATTAAAGTCCTCCTTGAGGTGTGGCTGGGGAGTGAGTGAGTTCTCATTCCATTAGTTCCTTCAAGAGCTGGTTGTTAAAAAGAGCCTGGCATCCCCCTCATGCTCTTGCTTCCTCCATCGACATGCAGTCTGCACACACCAGCTCCTCTTCAACTTCCATCATGAGTAGAAGCATTCTGAAGCCCTTACCAGATGCAGATGCCCAATCTTGAACTTTCCAGTTGTGAGAATAAGGAGCCAAATAAACCTTTTTATATATGAATTACCCAGCCCTGGGTATTCCTTTATAGCAACACAAAATGGACTAAGATAGGTTTATGTATCTTTTATTTTATTTTGAGATGGAGTTTCGCTATTGTTACCCAGACTGGAGTGCAATGGCACAATCTCGGCTCACCGCACCCTCCGCCTTCTGGGTTCAAGCAATTCTCCTGCCTCAGCCTCCTGAGTAGCTGGGACTACAGGTGTGCACCACCATGCCCAGCTAATTTGTGTATTTTTTTTAGTAGAGATGCGGTTTTATCTTGTTGACCAGGAGGGTCTCGATCTCTTGACCTCATGATCCACCTGCCTCGGCCTCCCAAAGTGCTGGGATTACAGGCGTGAGCCACCATGCCCAGCCTGTATCTTTTATAGATTTATTCCTAAGTCCATTTTTCTTTTTTTTTTTTTTTTGTGACAGAGTCTCACTCTGTCACCCAGGCTGGAGTGCAGTGGCACAATCTCAGTTCGATGCAACCTCTCCCTTGCAGGTTCATGTAATTTTCATGCCTCAGCCTCCTGAGTAGCTGGGACTACAGGTGCAGGCCACCATGCCTGGCTGATTTTTTGTATTTTAGTAGAGACAGGGTTTCACCATGTTGGGGTGGTCTTGAATTCATAGTCTTAAAGGCTGAAAGTCCAAGAACAATATGCCAGCAGGGTTGATTTCTTCTGAGGCTTTCTCTTTGGCTTTCAGATGGCCACCTTATCTCTGTGTCATCATGTAGACTTACCTCTGTGTGTGGGAATCCTTGGTGTTCCTTGCTAGGTGCTTAAAAATGTCTTGGTGCCTTGTATTAGAAATGGGCATCTTTGGCAGGGCACAGTGACTTATGCCTGTAATCCCAACACTTTGGGAGTTCAAGGTGGATGGATCACGAGGTCAGGAATTCAAGACCAGGCTGGCTAGGATGATGAAACCCTGTCTCTACTAAAAATACCAAAATTAGCTGGGCATGATGGCCTGTAATCCCAGCTACTAGGGAAGATGAGGCAGGGAATTGCTTAAACCCAAGAGGTGGAGGTTGCAGTGAGCTGAGATCATGCCACTGCACTCCATCCTGGGCAACAGAGCAAGACTCTGTCTCAAAAGAGAAAAGAAAAGAAATGGGCATCTTTGGCTGGGCACAGTGACTCACACCTGTAATCCCAGCACTTTCGGAGGCCAAGGTGGGCTTCCCATGAGGTCAGGAGTTCAAGACTAGCTTGGCCAATATGGTGAAACCCTGTCTCTACTAAAAATACAAAAATTAGCCAGGTATGGTGGCAGGCACATGTAGTCCCAGCTACTCAGGGGGTTGAGACAGGAGAATCGTTTGAACCCAGGAGGCAGAGGTTGCAGTGAGCTGAGATCATGCTACCACACTGCAGCCTGAGCAGCAGAGCAAGACTCCATCTCAAAAAAAAAAAAAAAAGAAGAAAAAGAATTGGCCATTTTTATGAGAAATATACATTTTATAACTGAGTATTACTGATATATAGAAATTCTATAGAAATATGAATGATTTTTGTATTCAGAAATCTTGCAGGCCTCTCTTATTAATTCAAATGGCATATCTGCATATTATTTTGGGGTTTCGATGTAGCCCATCCTTCATATGCAAATAATGACAGTTTTATTCCACTCATCCTTTTTTGAATGTCTGGAATATGGCCGTATTCATCCTGCAGGTTCAGTAAGAACACACTGAGTTCAAAATGACCATCTACTCACTTTATATACATTCATTGCATAATAATCCAAATATGTGGCATAAAATGCAAAACTAAGTTGGAACAACAGATCTGAACCCATGTTTATGAGATGCATAGAATTCTGAGGAGAACTGGGAAAGCAACCCATTGACTTAGGTCCTGAGATGGGAAGGGGAGATTCCTTACTATATGTGGCAGGTTTTTGGCTACATTGGGCTGAGGATGATACTTGCTGATAGAATGACTACCTAGTGACTTCCTCTCCCTTCTCAAGGATGGTATAGACATGGGCCTTAGAATCACACAGCTCCCTCTGTGTGACCCTGAGCAAGTGAATGAAACCATCTGAGCCATAGTTTCCTCATCCACAAAATGGTGATGACAAGCAGACCTACATTGGAGGGTTTATGGGAGGATTGAATGGGTTAATGTGTGTAAAGTGTGTAAGACAGTCCAGTTCCTCTAAATGTTCCATTAATATTGGAAACTAAAATTGCTCCCAAGTCACAGACCCTTAAATCTGAGCAGTTCCCTGAGTCCTGTGACTCCATAATCCTTTAGCACAGGGATGAGAAATCCTTTAGTCCTGTGGTTTAAAAAAAATTATTCAGCAAGGGAAGTTTCTTAAAAAAAAAAAAAGATAATTTTAAACCCATATATATATATATATAAACCCTAGCCACAATAGATGCCGTCCCCAATGATATGGGTATAAAGGGTCAGGAGCCCATCCCCCCAACCCCTGTGCCTGCCTCCCATGGCTGCCAGTCTCTGGAGCCGCTCTAATGCACACTCTTCCCTCACAGGGCACCGATTCAGTCCACCCTCTTTATATGAGTCTGCTTGGGTTGCCATAATAAAGTAACATAGACCATGTGGTTTAAACAACAGAAATTTATTTTCTCACAGTTCTGGAGGTTACAAGTCCAAGGTGGTGGTCAGCTTGGTTTCTGGTGAGGCCTCTCTTCTTGGCTTGTGGACGGTTACCTTCTTACTGTTTCCCCACATGTCCTCTTCTCTGTGCATATGTAGCATAAAAGACACCAAGACAGAGAGTTCTCTGGTATCTCTTCTCATAAGGACACTAGTCCTAACTGATTAAAACCCCAGCCTGGCCGGGCTTGGTGGCTCAAGCCTGTAATCCCAGCACTTTGGGAGGCTGAGGCAGGTGGATCATGAGGTCAGGAGTTCGAGACCAGCCTGGCCAACATGGTGAAACCCCATCTCTACCAACAATACAAAAAAAGTAGTGGTGCATACCTGTAATCCCAGCTACTCAGGAAGCTGAGGCAGGTGAATCACTGAACCCGGAAGGCAGAGATTGCAGTGAGCTGAAATCAGGTCACTGCTCTCTAGCCTGGAGGGCAGAGCAAGACTCTTGCCTTGGAAAACAGAAAACCTAGCTTATGACCTCATTTAACCCCTCCTGCCTCCTTTTAGGTCATATCTCCAAATGCAGTCACACTGAGGGTTAGGGCTTCAGCATATGAACTGTGTTTGGGAAAACACGATTTAGTTCATAAAACCCTCCCATTTTCCAGATGGAGAAACTGAGGCTCCAGTAAGCTGGCGATTCTTCCCAGCACACTTTGAAAATGAGGGACTGAGGCTAGACCAGTTCTGGCACAAGCACAGCTGCCCTGACCTCTAATGGCTGAGTGAAGTCCAGAGCTCAGCAGGGCCTCATTCTCTTGGTGCCTGCTCAGAACCCAGCACTCCACTGATACCCTGAGAATGGGGAGGAAGCTCCAGGAGCATGTGTGGGAAGAAATGCTGGCATGAACACTGGCATGCACACAGGGTGTTTTTAGGGGCTTTATGGGCTGGAGCACATGGTGCCTGTGGTCTGTGTGGACATACACGACCATACAGTGTATGTCGACATACACAGATCCACCTGGAACACTCATGGTGGGCGAGGGGCATTGAGGTTCTGCTGTGAAAGGCTGGAGAGTCTGAAAGGAGTAGACCTCTGGGTTCACTGCAGCAGCAGCTCACAGTGATCACATGCTTACTGTGTGTCAGCCCAGTGCTAAGTGCTTTATAAACCTCTGTCATCGGGCTGGGCGCAGTGGCTCACGCCTGTAATCCCAGCACTTTGGGAGGCCAAGGCGGGCAGATCATGAGTTCAAGAGATTGAGACCATCCTGGCCAACACACTGAAACCCTGTCTCCACTAAAAAATATAAAAATGAGCTGAGCATGGTGGCGCGTGCCTGTAGTTCCAGTTATTCGGAAGGCTGAGGCAGGAGAATTGTTTGAACCCGGGAGGCGGAGGTTGCAGTGAGCCAAGATCGTGCCACTGCACTCCAGTCTGGTGATACTCTGTCTCAAAAAATAATAATAAATAAAATAAAATAAATAAATAAATAAATAAATAAATAGACCTCTGTCATCAGCCCCTCATGACTACCTTGTGAGACAGGGCCTTTGATTATCAGAGAGCTCAGGTCACCTCCCAAAGTGAAACAGCTCAAAAGTGGTGGAGACCATTCAATGGGCCCAGGTCTGTTTGACCCTTAGTGCTGTGCTCCACTTCCTGGGTTCTCCAAAGCTAGAGAACAGCCCTTGGTGATGCTGTGGGCTGAGCTGGGCCGGGCTTCTTCTTGCACTTGGTTAGACTTGGATGTTTCTCATCTGCTGGTGGAAAAATAGGGAAAGGAAATGTATGTTGTCGGTCTCCAAGCCTCTCCAGGAGCCAAACAGATCAAACTAGGTGAAGGGTGGGAGCTGGAATGTCCCAGGCTGTCTTCTCCCAAGTTGAGGAGCGGAAGCCATGACAGCTAAGGGGATTTGTGGAAATTCCTCGTGCATTGTTACCAGGCAAAGGAAGTGGGTTAGCGCTGAGCTCTCAATTTCTGCCCTGGGGAGCCACCACCAGTTTCCGCTTCTGAAACTTGTTTGTGGGAAACTGAAGGGGCTATTTCAGGTCTTGAGTGTGTATGGCCGGTGGAGGGGGGGGCTCCAGATAATGCCCCATCCCTCCTTTCCAGCAGGGAAGGGGTCAGAAGGGCCCAGCCAGCCAGACAAACCCCCCCAGAATCTGCTCTTTTTCCTTCTACTTTGGGGCGGGTGGCTCAGAGCCGAGGCAAATGAACAGAAACATTTTATCCAGGCCTGATGGTATTTGTTTCTGGCACGATCAGCACAAGCAGATTAGAGAAATAAGTTGCATTTTTTCGTCTGTTTGCTGTTTGGACTGGACCTCGGCACACTGGATCTGTGTGGTTCTCCACAGCCCCCAGTCCATTCTGGAGGAATGGCTGGGCCTGAGTCCCTGGTATGGCTGTCCAAACTCTGCCAGATAGTGAGTCACTTCCCAGGCTCCCGGGAAAGTGGTAATTAGCTCACCAGGAAAGATACACAGGCATCCATACATGAGTCTACATATGGAGATACCACTCAATGCACTTAGACGTTCGTATCCTTACATGCGCCAAACAGCTGCATGCTTCCTTCCTGTTGCTCTCCTGGGGCGCCTCTGGATCCCCTCTCTGATGCAGGAGCACTCTGTGGGAGCTCTCCAGAAACCACCAGAGAAAGGGGAGGTTGGCCTTTCTGAGGCCAGTAGGGGTCTCCCCTGGAAACTCTGGCTGGGAGGCAGACACAGAGGAGCCTACAAGGCTGTGCCACCCAATCCCTGCCAGAAAACTCTTTCCCAGAAAATAACCTTTGAGGCTGGGTGCAGTGGCTCACTCCTGTAATCCCAGCACTTTGGGAGGCTGAGTGGGGTGGATCACCTGAGGTCGGGAGTTCAAGGCCAGCCTGGTCAACATAGTGAAACCCCCGTCTTTACTAAAAATACAAAAATTAGTTGGCATGCGCCTTTAATCCCAGCTACTCAGGAGGCTGAGGCGGGAGAATCACTTGAAGCCGGGAGGCAGAAGTTACAGTGAGCCAAGACTGAGCCGCTGTAATTCAGCCTGGGTGACAGAGTTAGACTATTAAAAAAAGAAAGACAGGAAAGGAAGGAGAGAAGAAAGGAAAAAAAGAAAGAAAGGAGGGAGGGAGGGAGGGAGGGAAGGAAGGGAGGAGAAAGAAAGAAAGAAGAGAAACAAAGAAAGAAAGAAATCTCCTTTGAGGTATGTCAGAAATCTGGCAGAGGAAGGAGGGACATGTACGCCCACAAGGTCTTTTTCAGCCCCCACACTTTCCCTGGCTAGAAAGCCAGGGTGTATCAACTTGGCTTAACAAACCAAGTAGGAGTTACCAGCCTGTAAAAGAACTTTTACAATATAAATAAACTGGGCAGGAGGTGCCCACTTGCCTGCCTTTCTCCCTCTTTCCTTCCGTCTTTTCTTCTTCTTTTTTTTTTGTCCAGGGCGGGGTAGACAGAGTCTTCCTCTGTCAGCCAGGCTGGAGTGCAGTGGTGCAATCTCAGGTCACTGCAACCTCCACCTACCTGGTTCAAGCAATTCTCCTGCCTCAACCTCTCAAGTAGCTGGGATTACAGGTGTGCACCACCATACCTGACTAATTTCTGTATTTTTAGTACAGCCGGGGTTTCACCATGGTGGCCAGGCTGATCTCAAACTCCTGACCTCAAGTGATCAGCCCATCTCAGACTCCCAAAGTGCTGGAATACAGGTGCAAGCCACCCACCAGGCTTCTTCTTTTTTTTTTAATTTTCTCTTCTTTCTTTCTGCTTCCCTCTTTTCTCCCCTCCTTTCCTTTCCTCCTCTTCCCTCCCTTCTGACCTTCTCCCTTCCTTTCCTTTCTCTGTCCTTCCCTTGCCTGCCTTCTATCTCTTAATTCTATCCTGGAAAGAGATCTCCATGCCTCCCTCTCTTTGATGCTCCCCGACTTATAATGGTTGAACTTATGATATTTTTAGTTTATGGTGATGAATTATGGTTACACATGCAGTAGAAACTGTACTTCCAGCACCCACACAACCAGTACAGTAGTCAATAAATTACATGAGGCATTCAACACTTTGTTATGAAATAGGCTTTGCGTGAGATGATTTCAGCCAACTGTAGGCTAATGTAACTGTTCTGAGCACAGTAAGTGTTGAAGGTAAGCTAGGCTAAGCTATAATATTTAGAAGGCTTGATGTATTAAATGCATTTTCTACTTCAGATATTTTCAACTTACAGTTGACTTATCAGCAGGTAACTGCATTTTGAATCAAGAAGCATCTCTATACTCAGCTCAATACAAGCACTGAGGTTGGAGACTTTAACAAGCCACAGCTCAGGGATTACAAAGCATCTTTTCCCTTCACAAACTCCACCTTTGGGTGAGATTTCAAGATGGCCAGGGTTGAACCTGTCATATCTGAACCCCAAACCCTTTCCTTCTTCTCCAAGAGCGAGGAGCAGGGTCTTTGTGGAGCCTATACAGCAGGCTAAAGATGCGAACACCTTACAGAAATGGAATTTGGGGTCATAAGTCAAGTAGCATATTCTATTTGGAAGAATTATTTCAGCGTTAACAGAGAATTTTTTTTTATTTGGTTTGGTTTTAAAGTGGTTTCCATCTGTAAGACTTCTGGGAAAGGGACAGATTCCCAACATGTAAAATATGAATTTTTCAAAGTCAACATTCCTAATGCCCAAATACACTTTAGGACTATGAAAACTTCATGTACAATGATATGTTGTTATGAACTAAATCGTACTGAACAGTTAGTTGTAAGAGGGCATTTTATGTTTTATTTTTATTTCCATGTGCGGTTTATTTTTGCTCTGACATTTTATTATAATTTCTTCCTACAGTAGGTGAAGTGCTTGGGAAGTTAATTTAAACCAGCCTGACTCTCTGTGTGTTTTTTAATATTTGTTTAAGCTTTTATTGAGCTTGTCAGGCAAGTCAGTGTGCAAAAATGCAGCCGAAAACCCCTTTTTCCTTCTGTGGTGCCTGCCCATTAATACTAGGTGGTGACAACAAGATTCGCGCACACTTCAAATGGGGATTATTCTGGGTTTTCAAGGAAATTTGAGCCACCTGTTTCAGAAACCTCTTAGTGACTTAGCAAGATGATGAAGGTGTCTCCCCACTCAGCCGTCACTCAGAGTTCTGCCTCCTCCGGCTCCTTCCGACTCGGCCGGGCCCTGCAGGGGCAATTTGCAGCACTGGTTGGATGCCTGAGCTCCAAGTTTTCCTTCCAGCTTGTGGCTTGGCCTCAGCCTGGGCCAGAGAAGCAGCTGCCGTCTCTCTGCCTGCGGGGAACTTTCCAGATCCACAGCAGGCTGGCTTTCCCCTGGGTTTGGGCTGCCCAGTCTGGAGCTGTTTATCATGGACAGCAGAACGACATGGGATCACCTTTGAGGAAGTGAGTTGTGAGAGCCAATTGTGTGGCCTACGTGTCGGGGAGCCACACTGCCCACAAAATTTGGCCAAGGAGGGAAATAGAAAGTCAACATTTTCCAGCAGGCTGGGAAGGCGGCTGGGTATTTCTGGAGCCCAGGACTCTCTGGTAAAATGGTCCTTGTGGTGGTGAGAGGCAAAAAAGGTGCTAGTGGAGGGGGCACGGTCAGATCTCTGCTCGGCTCAGAAAAGGCCTCTTAACTCAAGCAAGAGGTTTCCCTGACACACAATCCAAGGGCTTCACATTGACCAGGAATCTCACCAAACCTAACCCCAGGAGCAGACTAGACCCAGCATGTCACGGCTGGAAGAAGCCTTAGCAGTGATCTAGACCAGGGACCCTCCAAGTGTGGGCCTGGGTCCCCCGCATTAGCATCTCCTAGGAACTTGTTAGAAATGCAGATTCTCAGGCCCCAACCAAGACCTACTGGGTCAGAACCTCCAGGGGTGGGACCCAGCAGCGAGTGTTTTCACTAGCCCTCCAAGTGATGGTGCTGCAGGGCACAGTTTGATCATCACTGGGCAGGCTCTGAGCATTCCATCAGTGGGGAATCTGAGGCCTGGGGTGGGGTGGGGGGAAGGAAAGTAACACATTCATCACTGGATTGTTTGTGGTAGAACTGGGACAAGTTCTGCCAGGCTAGATTTCCTCCTCACCCCTCTTCTCCTGCCAGTTTAGCAAGGAGAAGGCTCTAATGTCTGAAATCCCACCAATTGTTGGCAATTGATCTGGCTCTTCTCTCTCTCTGCTGACCTTATACCCACCTGCAGACTTCAGGAGGACTCTATTTCCACTTCTCATGGGAGGCATGTTGATAATTCACACTTTCACTTTTTAGTCAGTGTTGTGAATAACCGGGTTAGAAGATGACCTTTGACTTTGGTAAATGACCAGGTCTTTCACAAGTTGAGTTAGCTAAGTGTTCCTGCCCTGCTGCACTCCTTTCTAAATGAGGGCTCTATGCCTGCCACTCCTGCTAAGTGGACAACACCTTCTGCTCCATGAGACAATGCCCCATGGTCACTGATATTGATGGTGCGGGGACAGAGCCCTGACTGAGAGAAGGGGGCAGCCACAGGCTAGGTAAGAATCTCCAAGGCCCATAGACTTGAAAAGATGATCTGGGCCAATCAAATCCCTCCCCTGGGAGTTTAGAATTGGGAAACTCAGAGACTGGGGCTGTTAGCAATGCAAACCAAAGCTGAAAGGCCATTTGGGGAATTGAGTGATGTAGATGAGGCCTGGGTAGTCCCGAGGCGCTTGGTGCAAGCTGAAGACAGGTAAAAGTGGAGGAAGGTCAGCAGTGGAAAAAGAGCAGTGAAGAAAGTGAGAGAAGCAGAAATCCCACAAGAAAGACCTGCAGTTATAGTTTTAGTTTTCTTGAGGCCTGATTTTTGTTGTTGTTGTTCAGATGGAGTTTCGCTCTTGTTGCCCAGGCTGGAGTGCAGTGGCATAAACTTGGCTCACTGCAACCTCTGCCTCCCAGGTTCAAGCAATTCTCCTGCCTCAGCCTCCCGAGTAGCTAGGATTACAGGTGCCCACCACCATGCTTGGCTAATTTTCTATTTTTAGTAGAGACGGGGTTTCACCATGTTGGCCAGGCTGGTTTCAAACTCCTGACCTCAAGTGATCCACCTGCCTTAGCCTCCCAAAGTGTTGGGATTACAGGCGTGAACCACCACACCAGGCCAAAGCTGGGCAACATTTTCTATGAAGGGGGAAAAAAAACCCTTAAGTATGGAAAAAACTACCTCCCTCCTATCTCTTTGAGTCTAGTCCAGGTCTCATTTGACTGTGAGCTTTTTTTTTTTTTTTGAGACAGAGTTTCACTATTATTGCTGAGGCTGAAGTGCAGTGGTGCCATCTTGGCTCATTGCAACCTCTGCCTCCTAGGTTCAAGTGATTCTCCTGCCTCATCCTCCCAAGTAGCTGGGATTATAGGCATGTGCTATCACACCTGGCCAACTTTTTGTATTTTCAGTAGAGATGGGGTTTCATCATGTTGGCCAGGTTGGTCTCGAACTCCTGACATCATGATCCAACCACCTCGGTCTTCCAAAGTGCTGAGATTATAGGTGTGAGTCACTGTGCCCAGCCTGCATCTTAATCTTAAGGCTGGGTGGAGTATGGGCCATATATTCCCTCTGTATCCTCTCTTCTTGTAGTATTCTACCGCCTCCCAGGCTGGCCAGCTACTTCTTGAGTCATGGTAAAAACCCCAAACCCAAAAGTTGATAAGAACCAGGGTTATCCAGTTGGCCGACTAACATACACACAAGGTATCTGCAAAGCAAGAACATCCTCTAAGCTCAGCTTTAATGAACTATGTGAAATTTTACAAACGAGATCTAGAAGGAAACCTTATAATTTTGACATATGAAAAATCAAATAAAATACTTAAGTTACATGTAGATAATAATGAATGCAAAATAGGGTTGACTATTGAGAGTGGTGGAGACTGTGGTAAACTGGTGAGATCCTACCCTGTCTAACGCCAGTGACAGCCAATACTTAGCTCTGGTTCATTGTTCTCTTTGGGGATACAACCTAATGTCAGATTTTCCAATTCTTGGGTATCTGAATTTTTTAAAAAAAGTAAAACCTCCTTGTTTTTTAATATTAGCAACTAATTTAAATTTGCAAAAAAATTTGTTTTTTGAGATGGAGTCTGACTCTGTCACCCAGACTGGAGTCCAGAGGCATAGTCATGGCTCATTACAACCTCCACTTCCCAGGTTCAAGCAATTCTCCTGTCTCAGCCTCCTGAGTAGGTGGGATTACAGGCACCCACCACCACACCTGGCTCATTTTTGTAGTTTTTACTAGAGATGGGGTTTCTTTTATTTTTTCTTTCTTTCCTTTAGATGAAGCTTGGCTCTTGTCGTCCAGGCTGGAGTGCAATGGCACCATCTCGGCTCACTGCAACCTCCACCTCCCTGGTTCAAGTGATTCTCCTGCCTCAGACTCCCAAGTAGCTGGGATTACAGGCACCCACCACTACACCCAGCTAATTTTTTTTTTTTGTATTTTAGTAGAGACAAGGTTTCACCATGTTGGCCAGGCTGATCTTGAACTCCTGACTTCAGGTGATCCACCCTCCTTGGCCTCCCAAAGTGCTGGGGTTACAGGCAGGAGCCACGGCACTCAGCCTTTTTTTTTTTTTTTTTAATGTCCACAAGTCAGATTCAACCCACAAGACTCTCAGGGCCAATTCACCCTTTCATCTTTAGCCACATTAGACCGAGCTCCCTTTGGCATATTTACTTCACTCTTCAGAGAAGGAAGGCTGTGCAGTTATCTCCGAATTCTTGAGAAGGAAACTGAGTCCAGAAAGGGTGGGTACTTTGCCTGTTACTCACCGGGTCAGGACAGAGCTGAGCGACAACCACGCCGGCTCCAGGTTTCCACTTGAGGGAAGCCTGGCCTGTGTCTGAAGCTTCGGCTGACCTTCCCCGCATCTGTCCACTCACTCGTGCTCCCACATCTGGGCTGCGCTCGAAGTGGTATCCGCCTGTGGTTGCTGCAGTTGGCAGGAGGGGCTCTGAGAAACCGAAAGACTTGGGTATATTTAATAAGTCAGAATATGAGCTGGAGTCTAATGCTGTGACATGAACAGCTCTCAGCTGGCCCCTTCAGCACGTGTTGGGAAATGGACCTTTCTCTGGTCCTCACACAGAGTCACTCCGACGTGACTCATAGGTTGTTTATTCAAGTTAAGGAATATGTTTTCTTCCTGAGGGCATGGCAGGAAGAAATAGGCTATTTGCAAAACAAGAGTTATAAGCAAGACTTCAGGAAGAAGAGAGATTAAAAAACAGGGACACGGCTTTGGAAGTGTTTGTGGGTGTTCGTTTTCTTGAGGCACTCAGGGATGCACTAGCTCAGGGCAGCTGGTGGGGGAGTCGGGGACAGGGCTGCATCCTTCGAGGATCCCTTCCAGAAAATATCAGCCTTGGGTAAAGATGGAAGCCAAGTCCAGATGGTTTGAATGCAGCTGCTCCTCTGAGAATATGTTTCAAGCTATATTTCTGAGCCAAATGAAAGTGGTTTTTGGATTATTCAGTGTGGTGTGTGTGTGTGTGTGTGTGTGTGTTTGGTGGGGAGAGAGAGTCTCACTCTTGTCGCCCAGGCTGGAGTGCAGTGGTGCTATCTCTGCTCACTGCAACCTCTACCTCCAGGGTTCAAGTGATTCTTCTGCCTCTACATCCTGAGTAGCTGGGATTACAGGGGTGTGCCACCACACCTGGCTAATTTTTTGTATTTTTAGTAGAGAGGGGGTTTCACTGTGTTATCCAGGATGGTCTTGATCTCCTGACCTTGTGATCTGCCTGCCTCGGCCTCCCAAAGTGCTGGGATTAAAGGCATGAGCTACCGCTCCCAGCCCTGTTTGGTTTTAATTCAAGCCTCATCTTCCTTCCATTAGTCCAAGGCAACCCATCGTTACCAGCATTAGTTCTATAATTATGAGTCATCAACCTATTTCTCTAGGGTTGATGGGAATAGCGGTGGCGTCTGGAGTAAAATAGTTTGAGTTCTAATCTTAACTCTACCATTATTATTAGCCATGTCATCTCACAAATCACTTAATCCCCTTGTGCCTTAGTTTTCCATGTGTATAGAATGAGAACAATCATAGTATCTACTTCATAAGGTTCTTGCGAGATTAAAATGAGAAATGCATTCATTTATTCCTAAGTATTCACTTAACACCTGCTTTTAAGTGCTGGCAAGCAGTGCTCCTGCTCTTGAAATGCTAACATTCTCCAGTGTGCTCAGCAAAGAATAGGTACTATTGTTATTGTTATTTTTGTGCTGCTGCTATTGATGTTCTTACCATCCAACTCATGGGGAGGGAGAAAGATAGAATCCTAACCTGTGGCTCAGTTTTTCTGAATATGCATGGTCTGAAAGATCCCGCCTGGCACAGTGGCTCTTGCTTGTAATCCCAGCACTTTTGGAGGCTGAGGTGGGGGCATCACTTGAGTTTAGGAGTTCAAGACCAGCCTGGTTGACATGGGGAGATCCCATCTCTACAAAAAAATGAAACAATTAGCCAAACATCATGGTGTGTACCTGTGGTCTCAGCTACTTCGGAAGCTAGGTGAGAGGTTGACTTGTGCCCCAGAAGTTAAGGCTTCAGTGACCAAACCACAATACTCCAGTCCAGAGCAAGACCCTGTCTAAAAAAAAAAAAAAATTAATTTTTTTTAATCCATTCTTTTTTTTTTGAGATGGAGTTTTGCTCTTGTTACCCAGGCTGGAGTGCAATGGCACGATCTTGGCTCACCACAACCTCCGTCTCCTGGGTTCAAGCAATTCTCCTGCCTCAGCCTCCCGAGTAACTGGGACTACAGGCATGTGCCATCATGCCCAGCTAATTTTTGTATTTTTAGTAGAGATGGGGTTTCACCATCTTGACCTTGTGATCCACCCGTCTCAGCCTCCCAAAGTACTGGGATTATAGGCGTGAGCCACCATGCCCAGCCTAATCCATTCTTTACTGTTTAATAACCATTCTCAGGCCGGGTACAGTGACTCACGCCTGTAACCCCAGTGCTTTGGGAGGCCAAGGCAGGTGGGTCACCTGAGGTCAGGAGTTTGAGACTAGCCTGGCCAACATGATGAAACCCTGTCTCTCTAAAAAATACAAAAATTAGCCAGGCATGGTGGCGGGTGCCTGTAATCCCAGCTACTCGGGAGGCTAAGGCAGAAGAATCACCTGAACCCAAGAGGCTGAGGTTGCAGTGAGCCGAGATCGCACCATTGCACTCGCACCTAGCCTCAAGCAAGATTCCATGTAAAAATAAATAAATAAATAACCATTCTCAGAGCCTGCTTGGTGTTAGAGACAAGCCTCCAGAGTACCTGGACATATAAAATATACCCACAAATAATTTGATGCTCCTCCCTTCCCCTCCCTTTGAATGTGAGCTGGACTGAGTAACTCACTTCCAACAAATAGGATGTGCCAAATGATGAAGTGTGTGACATCCAAGCTCAGATCATAACAGACCTTATGGCTTCCTCCTTGCTCTCTCGCTGGGCTCACTCTCCCTGGGGAAAGGCAACTGCCATGCTGTAAGGACATTCAAGCAGCACTATGGAGAGGCTCACATGGCAAGGAACTCAGTCCTCATTCCAAGAGCCAGCAAGGAACCAAGATCTCTTCATAATGACCATGTGAGTGAGATGACTTGGCAGAACAACTTTCATCCCCAGTCAAACTTTCAGATGATGCTAGCCCCAGCCAGCACCTGGACTGCAATCTCGTGAGGGACATTGAGTCAGAGCCACACAGTTTAAGCTGTTTTTGGATTCTTGACCCACAGAAACTGTGAGAGAATAAATGTTTGTTGTTTAAGCCCCTAAGTTGGGAGGTAATTTGTTGCACAGCAATAGGTAACTGATACAGTGCCTTTCCCTAGAATAGATCTTGGAGGAAGAGTCTCTTTAAATACTGGCGTAAAATTCTGAAGAGTATGTTTATTTATCAAAATTTCAGAGGATTCTCTCTTAATATAAGAAGAAAACAGTAAGATGATAGAAGCTGGGAGTTCTATAGTATAACCACAGGTCTCCTAATTTCACTGGTATAAAAGTCACCACTCTCAGCCAGGTGCTCACGCCTGTTATCCCTTTGGGAGGCTGGAGCAGGTGGATCACGAGGTCAAGAGAATGAGACCATCCCAGCCAACATGGTGAAACCCTGTCTCTAGTAAAAAATATAAAAATTAGCTGGGCGTGGTGCACGCCTGTAGTCCCAGCTACTTGGGAGGCTGAGGCAGGAGAATCACTTGAACCTGGGAGGCAGAGGTCGCAGTGAGCCAAGATCATGACACTTCACTCCAGCCTGGCGACAGAGTGAGACTGTCTAAAAAAACAGCAAGCAAACAAACACCACTCTCACTGCAACAACAACACTAAGAATTTAGGCAGCATAATAGATCAATATTAATTGTATATCCCTGAGCAGTCCTCCAAGAACTGGAGGTACAGAGGAAAGGTTTCCAAAGATTCCATTTCTATATCAGAAGATGGTGCCCAGTGCAATTCCGCTTCACACTGATCTGTTCACTTGGTGATAATGCCATCACAGCCAATTAATATCCTCCTAAATGGAAAAATTTGCCCCAATAGTTGGCAGGGAAATACTTTTCCAGGGATGGGGGAAAAAATACTTTTCCAGGGATGCTGCAAGAGGGTAATCAGTGTTAAAGTGACTCAGCTGTCTTCTCCAGTAGGACAATATTCATCAGCCTCTGCCTTCTCTGAGGTCCTGTCTTTCCACCTCTGCCATTTGGCCCTGAATAGGGCTACTCTCAAGTATATATCTCTTCCCGGAACATGAGATTTTTATTTCCTCCTTTCCTCCCTTACTGCCCACCTGTGATGGTTAACTTCATCTGTCAACTTGACTGGGCACAGGATACCCAGATATTTGGCCAAACATTCTCCTGGATATGTCTGTCAGTCAGGGTGATTCTGGATGAAATTTAGATTTGAATCGGTAGACTGAGTAACGAAGACTGCCTTCTCTAAGGTGGGTGGGTCTCATTCAATCAACTGAAGACCTGGATAGAACAAAAAGAAACTGAATAAGAGGGAACTCCTCCTGCCTGACTTCTTAAGCTGGTACGTTTGCTTGCCAGCTTTTGGACTGGAACTTATATCAACTCTCCTGGTTCTCAGGCCTCTGTACCCAGACTGGAATTATACATTGGCTCTCCTGGGTCTCTAGCTTGCCAATTGCAGATCTTGGGACTTCTCAGCTTCCACAATCGTGTGAGCTACTTCCATGTATAATATATATTTGAGACAGAGTGTTGCTCTGTTGCTCAGGCTGGAGTGGAGTGGTATAAGGTCAGCTCACTGCAGCCTCAACCTCTTGACCTCAAGCAATCCTCTGGCCATGAACTCCCAAAGTGCTGGGATTACAGGTATGAGCTATGGTGCCTAGCCATGATTTATTTATATGTGTCTGCGTGTGTATATATATATGTGTGTGTGTGTGTGTGTGTGTGTGTATATATGTGTGTGTGTGTGTGTATATATATATGTGTATATAATATATAAATACCTATAGATACATATACACACACACCCTTACATACACACACATATATAATCTATAGCTTCTGTTTCTCTGGAGAACCCTGACTAATGGCCAACCACCTAACCCATCTTTTTTCCATTTTTGCCGTCACTTCCCTACTCTAATGCACTGTAGCCCTTCACCCACATGTCTGCATTAACTCCTCACTGGTCTCTGTAGTGGGTTGAAATGTGCCCCTCAAAAGGATATGTCTAACTTTTAATCCCTGGTCCCTGTGGATGTCACCTTATTAGTTAAACAGGTCTTTACAGGTGTAATTAAGTTAAGGATTTCAAGATAAAGTCATCCTGCATTAACTGAATGGGCCCTAAGACCAATGACAAGTGCTCTTACCAAAAGATGAGAGAGCCAGGCACAGTGGCATGCACCTGTAGACCCAGCTATTCAGCAGGCTGAGATGAGAGGATCACTTAGCCCAGGAGGTTGAGGCTGCAGGGAACTACGATTGTGCCACTGCATTCCAGCCTGGATGACAGAGCAAGACCTTGTCTCTAAAATAAATTAATAAATAAATAAAAAGA